CGCGAGGCAAGTATTCATATGTCGCACATATTGACATGTGTTACATATGCATAATTAAATAAAACGAACTAAAAATAAAATTCAATATATATTAATAATTTTAATATGTCCCATGTATATTAATCGATTAAAATTAAAAAAATTAATGAAATAAAAGTGTATGCAATTCCACAGAAGATTGACCGTGTAAAAATGATTTTCTTAGAAAACATTAGAGAATAACGACAAAATTTCTATTAAATTTCATTGAGACATTTTATGTTTTAAGAGTAGTTTCATAAATATAGTATTGTTGATTGTAAATATGTATCTTTTATCGAGAAATCAGCTTGTAATGTTTCGCTATATCAATTTGTGGCTAATGATTTAATTATCTAATTTAACAAGTTTACTTCTTTGAATAATTAAAAAATATTCACTATAATCATCTATAAATATCTATTAACATTATTATAAATATCTGTTAACAAAATAATGCTAATAAATTAATAACTGATTTCTGAGAGTTTATGTGGTAGAATGATGCTTAGAATGACCGCCAAATATTTCGTGTGCTGGTAGAGAGGACTAAATTGAGTCGAAAAGTCCTCTACCATTTTGCAATTTTTGCAATGGTTAACAAGATATTAATTAATTACTAAATATTGCAGAATATTGATTTTCAATAATTTTTTACTCAAGTACTATCAACTTCACTGAATAACAGCAAGAGACAAAAATTGTTTATTTTCTTCTCATACATTGAAAAAAAATATAGTCAATTTTAATAAATATTTAGTTGAACACTGCCAACTAAATCTTTATTAAATATAAAGATTTATTTGATACAGGAAATGTTAATTTGATTTAACAATCTTTTTTTTTTACTGAATAAATATTTATTTACTGTAAGTAAATTTTCCTGTAAAATTAATAGTAAAAAAGTGAGTAAAAAATTATTAAATATCATATTCGGTGATTTTTAATAATTAATATTTTTATAACTATTATGACAATGATAGAGAACTTTCCTTTCAATTTAGTTCGCTCTACCAACAGAATATTTGACAGAACATTCTGAGATATCTTGTATATTACAATGTAATATATACGGGTCTCTCACCACTACCGTATTTCCTTTTAAGAATATTTTTGAAGTAATTTAAAGATAAAAATTTTAGGATTAAGGTTCATTATTAGTGATTTAATATTCATTTTGAATAAATTTCTCCTATCCTTTATATTCAAATATTATTTATACTATTCTATAATTTAATGACATAAAATTTTTAATTTTACTTATAAACAATCTTATTATATATCCTATAACCCCCCCCCCCCCCAACAACTTAATTTTAATTATTAATCTAAATACACATTCCTGTATACTTACTTTGTTACGACTTCTTTCAATTATTTTATTCATGAAAATGAATAAAAAATGGGCAATTTGTACATATTTTATCTAAATTTCAATTTATTAAATTTAATAAATTTACTATTAAATCCTCCCTCCTTTAAATATCAAAACTTAAAATCCTTATAGTAATAATTCATTTAATTGTAACTCATTCTTCCCTAATAACTCTACATTTTGATTTGAATGGTATAAAACACATGGTACACACTAATAATCAGTGTTGGTTCAAATTGACATTTTATTTATTATTTTTTAGATTCATTATTAGCGATTAGTAGTAGCTTTAATAGCTAATTTAAAAACTATTATAGTCTCGATATTTTTACATTAGAATTTTCGTCTCTAAATTATTTAAAAATACTTAAGAGGAAATGTTGCAGTAGTAGATATATAAAAAGGACGCTCTGTATAAGTATGTATATAAGAAAATAAATTATATTGATTTATTAATTTTAATTAATATTATTGTACTAAACTAAAACTTATATATAAAAACTAATGTATATCTCCTCCATTTGTCTTCTCTTTCAAAAATTTGTAATCAGAAGCGCAACTGATACAATTGTCATTTTTCTTCGTCGAAGTCACGTTGGCATACCTATAATAATGGTGAACGCAACAGGTAATGGCACAGAAACGTGTCGTATTAAATTAACGGAAAAAGATTCTTGCTTCTTTTACCATATGATCGCACTCGATCGATTATCCAAAGATGTAACAGCATATATATTCGACATTTCGTTTTTTAAACTTTTTGCTACGTGAGGGATAATTTTCTTGCATTGTAAAAGCATGAACAAAATGAATTATAATTATCGATTATAATGATTATAATTGTTTTATGCGATTATCGTTTCTCTAAAGAGAGAGAACAGATTATGAACGTCATTGGATATTGCCGGTTATGGGCATTCTCTTGTGACATCGAATTTTAGTACAATTTTGTCAGGACGGAACGGACCCGTCAATAAATTTCCTGGTGACATTTAACGTGCACTAACATCGCCGCAAAGAAACGCACGAGTATTTCAAAAACAACACGACTTTTCATGGATATTATTCAGTAATATATTTTCATAGTGAGTTTAAATAATAGCAAATATGCAGCAAATTGTCTGACATATATTTAAAAAGTCTAATTCTATAATATTCTTTACAAAATTTTCAAAAGAGAAATGGAGCTAGAATTATTATTATTATTTTTAATTACACACTCGCTCATTGATTAATATTTATTTACAATCATTTAACGCTAATTTATGGAAATTTCTGAAATTACACGTGTTTCTGTTACAAAGCAGTTCTTTGCTCTACCAATGAAAAGATTAGTATAAAAGCGAAAGCTCTTTTCTCTAATATCGCTTACAGTAGAATCTACCAATCGGGGATCGTAGCAATAGCTTTTTATGGAAATGACTCAATATGTTAAATACACGGATCGTAGATATCTGGATCGCAAGGAATTTGTAAAATACCGTGCATTCAGGGAATTACTGGAATTACCTTGTCAACTGCTGGATTGGAGGACTGCCGTGAGTGCCGGCGGATTCAATTGCGCCTGAAAAAGCAGAGTGGCCTGCTGAGAGCCCATTTGCACAAAATCCAGTGATTGCTACTCCCACAGCTTATGCTACCAAGTAATTTTGGAATATCAGCGACACTTTAAAATGCCTGTGTTTCGTGATATGGCAAGGCACGATAACCTTTGAGAAAAATCGAATCAACAATTTCAAGATTTCAACACAGTTGTACGTCTGTGACAAGACTAATTTTTTTGTATAACATTGCATAAAAACATTTAATTTATATCGTAGAGTTCAGATAAGTATATAAAACTAAATTATAAATATAGTAAAGTTTTTTTTTATAAGGTTATTTATGATGGTAGATGACGAGAATTATTTTTGATTGCGTGTAATTGTGTCTTAAACCATGTCTTTACCATGTTAATAAGTTACATATTTAAACTCGTGTAATTACATGTGAGTATTTATATTAAGTATTTATATTGTATGTAAACAAGTTATAGGATACATTATGCATTATCACTGCAGTCAGTTAATTTCATGTTAGATGATTTCTTTACTTCTGAAAGACGTGTAATTAAGGCAGAGATGAATTATGAAAGAGAGAAAATGAGAATAAGTGTGATTTTATATTGTAATTGACAATATTTATGTCCCTCTCCCGTCATAAATATCATATAATTACCATACAAAATCCAATCTAAATTATTTATATAATTTGTACTCGTCACGCTTCGTTATTTCCTCACTTCGGATAAAAGCCAATTTAAACAGAATAGCTTGGAAAACCAACCATTAACAATTGTCGGGATTAATTTTACATTCACGAACATTCTACAGTAAATGCTTACGCCGCGAAAAATGACATTTTTTAATTATAACATTGAAAAGAATGGGTATATTGGTTATGTGTGGATTTAATAAATAAAAATATTGTAATATTCCTCTTAAAGTCAAAAAGAATAAAAAAAAGGCAACCCACTAGCAACCGAATGTATTCAACTTCCCTCTTGGGCAATCCACTTTACCCTATGCCCTCGCAGAAAGGCTTATCAACCCGCATGTATTCCCAGAGAGAACGGTAATGAAAATGCTTCCGGAATATTTCACGAGACCCTTTAATACATCAAGGGATGGAATGGAGGAGCGGTAAGTGAAAACGAAAAGAGAGAACGAGACGAAGCTGCTGTACAGTCGATGTTAGAATAGGAGACGAAGGCCGTAAAAGAATCCCTTTTCCATCTTTGCGTGTATTACACCCTTTGTTCTGCGCGGTCTTTTTATTTGTAGTCCTTAATTCTAGTGACACGAAGCTGGCCTGAGGTATCTCTTTATCTCGCTCCATCTTCACCATTATGAAATTACCCGCTCATTGTTATGGATGCATTAAAAAAAAAATTTTGCATCGTGAAATAAACCGAATGTGACTATATGCACTCAACATTATTATTGTCCGTGTCTTCGTTCTTATATTCAGATTTTAGTTTAATTCAAGGAGGAATTTTTCGTGCAGTATGCACCGTTAAAATGTACACAAAAAACTCTTTAGAAACAAAGTTATAAGAATATATTAAGAAAATTGCTGCTTATACATTATATATTATATTATACGTAAATACAATACTATACTTATTATTTCTTCTACATAAAAATGCAATTGATTTGTTTAGAAGTCGATTATAGATTTTAGGATTTTTTAAAAGCAATGAACGAAATCTGTTTTATCTATTTTAATTTTTTATTTATTTCTTATATATCTACGCCTTTAATAACGTTATTAAGGAACAATTATTTCCGATATATTTTTGAGTTTACGACTTACGAGACACGACAAACAATGCACCAACTTCACGCTTTGTCTCAAGCGTTTTCCTGGCCGATAATAAATCTCTGTCTCTCTCACATCGTATTTTAATTATCAGTGATCGAGGTCTGCTTAGCAATTCAAATCGCACACGTGACTACACCCTTGACACCAGCACGGCCACCGACGCGACGTGGAGGACCTTGGGCCAACGAAATTGGCGTGCCAGCACGCGACAGCGTGTCCGCGCCGCTAATGACCCGTGACTTACCGTCCATCCTGGCGGTAACGTCGCTCGACGATCGACGATTATCCGCGATGAGACTTTCCCAGATCGCGGTGAATCTTCCGCGTGATCGATCCATGGAGTCGCGACGTTGCAGGGACGCGATGATCCTGCATCCGCGTTGTCGTGGACCGGTGGGTCGGAGTCTCGTTCCGTTGACACTCCTCGACGAGCCGAGAGGTGCACCGTCACTTTCGACGTGGCCACGAGCGGATGTGTCACGCACAGACATCGACATGATGTCACGCGTACATGGCCTGATATCGCATATTTGCCATGTTTAAAATCGAGTCGAAGAGAGAGAGAGAGAGAGAAAGAAAGAGAACAAAGTGAGAAAATAGAGGAAAAAAGAAAAAGAGAGGGATGCGACCACGAGGAAAAAGCCTTCGGGCTCTTTCTAGTCTACTAGCGTTTCGATTATCCGCGCTGCACGTTTACGGCGATACATACGGGAAGCCGTCTTAAGCCGCGCCATTCAGTGCCGACGGATCGCCTGAAATATTTTGCGACAGCGGATCGGAAACCCCAACGACGTCGTATCCGATCCACGGGACGGCTGTATGGAGGGCTTATTAAATTCTTCGTGGAAATGGCACTGCTCAGCTGCGATCTCTCTACAATCTATCTCGCAAACTTCCACTCTTTGTAGAACTTCTCTTATCAGCTGTCTGCGTCACTCCATTTCTCTTTTCATTCTGCGATCTTATCCTCTTCAACCTTCGCTTTTTGCAATTGATTCACTATCACTGTTTGAGCCTCCAGTTGGATTGGCAGCCATTAGCAGGCACGAGGTCACTATTCGCAACGATGCTAACCACCTTAATATGATACGCCGGCACTTTCGGCTAATTTTGCCACGTCCCTGCCCCGTCGATCGACGTTGAAATTCTTGGCCAGAAATTCAGTTCCGAAACAGCTAAACCGGAGCTGCATCGATGAAACGTAAGCACACTTTGCGCGCTGGTCCATTGGTGTTGTCACTGATCAGGGAAATGAGCAATTATCCTCAATCATCACTCAGATATTCTCTCTCACGTGTATTACTCGATCTCAAAGCTCCTCGATTTTTTGACCGAGTTTTGCCCTAAACCCTTCCTGCCCGTGTTTCGCTCTTTTTGTGATCTCGTGACCGGCACAGCGCGCACATCACATGACAAGATCTTCATGAACTATCAGAGTATCTTGGAAACGGAAACTTTTTTGATAGATTCCAATCGATTCACGGCTACAGCTGTCCGATCCGACCGTTCATTGCACGAATACTATCGATCCTCCACTATTGCGGAGATACCTGTGGATTCCAGCGAGCGATGATCTATGATCGACGAATGAAACACGCTAGATCGCCCTAGTATCTATCGACGTTTCAGGCGATGGCAAATGACGACGTGGACCAGGATCGATTGACGAGGATTGACATCACTGCCATCATCGTCGTCGTCGTCGTCGTTTATCTCGATCGGCCAGACGGCACTCTCGAGCCACGTCGTGGAGCGTACGGCAAGCGACTGGCTGTCTGCTCGAGTTTCCACACCGCCTCGAATCCCGAATGCTCGCGCGCGCTCGAGAGGGGTTGGAAGTGAGCGAGAGAGGGTGTGAGAAAGCGAGAAAGAGAGAAAGAGCGAGAGAGCGATGGAGGCTCTCCCTCGCTGGCAAAACCCTCTCACGCGCACGCTGCCTGCGACCAACCCCTAATTCTCAACCCTCCTCTACCAGCCACCTTCTACTCCTCCTCTGTGTCGCGCTGGCCGTTCTCATCTTCCTCCCCTCTCTCTCCCCTCTCCCCCTCTCTCTTTTTCCGTGGCGTCTTTTTCTCAATTCTTTCTTGCTTATCTCGAAGCTTTCGAGTCTCTCCAAATTCGTTGGCACAGGTCCTACTGGTTGATATGACGACACTGGACTTTGATTACTAGTGGTGCGTCTAGTTTGTCCTGTACTATCTGTTACTACTAGCGCGGAGGGAATCGCATGTTATGGGACGAGTGTCGGCCCTGACGAGTTCGGGTGTGTTTCCCAACTGGCTTTTCTTCCCTTGAGAATCAACTTAGCAAATTTCAAACAATATCACACAAATGTCTGTCTTGAATATTCGAAAAAGTCTCAAATTAGATTAAATACTAATATTAAGATTTTATTGTACGATTAATATTAAATTTTAAGATTAAGTATCTTATGGTAAATATTAATTTGTGTTTTTAATTTTAAAACTAAAAATTAAAATGATTTAAATAGTAACTAAAAGAAAAAAAGAAAAAGAGATAATTCAAAGCGATACGATTATATGGAATTGGAATCTCGAGCATATGAAATATTTTATGCAGATATTAACTGGAAATTTTTGGTATACCTACTTTGTTATAACTTATAAATTAACTAATTAATTTTATTCTAATTATTGGGATTATACTTACAGCTATGAAAAGTATGTATTATTACATTACGTACGCTTATTAAATTTATACGTTATTAATCAAAAATCCCCTTATTTTCCGTAGATTACATTTATGGTAAAAGTGTCGTGGAAGCTTTAGCTACGGCAAAAATCAATAATCTATAGTCATATCCCCTTGATTCGCGATCGCTTGACCTATATAATTTTTTAGCCGTATAATTTTCATAATGGATGAAGTATTAACATCGATATGCTTGTTTCGAACACATCAAATTAACATTATAATCAGTCTTCGTCAGAATTACGTCAATTACAGTTAATAAACTAGAATAACGAAGATAGAATATATCTGTCATCTATTTTCGATAGGCAAATTTTTTTAAATTAATATAAAATATTTTATTATAAGATATGATAAAGCGCATTTGCATAACTTTTTCGTTCCAATAATTCATAATTATTGGAGGAGAGAGAGGATCATTCTTCTCTCTAATTATTATGTTATTAGAACGTAAAAATTATGCAAGTACTTTTTATTGTATAACTTGTACAGTAAAATATTTCATTTGAACTTTAAAAAATTTATATCTTATAACTTTAAAAAATTTATATCATCCAAAATAGATGATTGGATTTTTATACATTTTGTCATTAAAATCCTGTGTTGTTTGTTTTTAATGATTGATTCTAAAGCTAATTCTACAATATGCTTTTTGTTTTCCGTTTCTTGCTGTTTGCCTTTTGTCTTATTGACCAAAAAGGCAAGAGACAAACAGCAAGAAACAGAAAACAAAGAGCACATTAGCCTCACAGTTTATTTTCCTGTATATTTAATATCTTGGTAACTTTCATATTTAATGAATTATGATCCATATTCTTCGTATGTTTTTCCGTCTATTTATTTGACTATTTTCCTCGATTATACTCTCTTATACTCTATAATATATTCTGAATAGATCGATTATTAATTTGTATTTAATAATTGCGGCTGATGAAGATTATATACGACATTAATTTCGCTTTTGGTCATAGATACAGCTTTATATTGTATCATTATCTATTTGATACACAACTTTTATTCGATTTTGGTTTCCGATTAAATTTGGTTTTTAAATTGTTATTACCACAAAGTGAGTTGGTGTTTAGATTGTGTGTTAATAAAAAATATTTTCTCTTTGATAAGAAAGAAATAATCAGCATTCACTTTATGAAATATCAGAATTAATATCGAGCGTTATTATGTGGATACCGATTGTGATATCGCGATTTGCGTTAAGTACCATTTAAGTGATATTAAGTTCGGAATTCTATTTTGAGTTTCAAATGATGCAGGTTCATAAACTACCTTATAACGACCAGAATCTCTTGCAGGTAGCATAGAAGAACTGAATCCGGCGCGCATAAACGGGAAAAGCAAAGAAATTTATAGTTTTCAATTTTCCGTCTGTCCGGATTTTCGCGACGCCTTGCATGCATTAGCTCTTTCATTTAGCTCATGAAATGACACGTTTTCTTCTCCTAGAAAATGAGATATGTTCATCTTCTTTTATATACACAAGGAGATTTTACATTGTCAGCTATCCATAATCCACAACCTCGCAATAATGAAGTACAACTTACACAATATAAACAATTTTAATAGCAAAAGGAATCCACAGGGTAGCTACAGACCTGAAAAATCAGGAAAAGTCAGGCACATGAAATTGGTCATAGTTTTCAGACAAATTGAAATTGGTCATGGAAAACCGGGAAAAATCAGGAGAAAATGTAAAAAAGTCTGAATTTTGGAATTTTGAAATTTGCTCACAATTTCCTTAAACTGCTCTTATTCCAAATAATTGTTATAATTTTTTAATATTATATTTGACGTTTATAGTGAAGTACATTAAAAACTCGCACATTTGAAATGATTTTAATAAAATAATTAAAATTTATATTTTATTCAGTATTTTTATTTGATCGCTCTTTTTCATAGTTGCATTTTGTTTTCTAATACTAATAATTTATTTTTTGTTGGCTTGAATTTGCACCCAAAATTTTAGTATGCTATTAACTTTTTTGTTTTTAATAACATATGTTAGCTTTTTCAATTCTTGACTTTAAATGTGTTAAAATTTACATATTTTATATTGGAAAATTTTCATTTCCATCTGGAAAACCTGAAAAAGTTCCTGAAAGGGAATTTAAAAATTTATTTTCTGTAGCAACCCAAATAAAGCATCGTGTAATATTTATCGAAGAATATAAAAAATGTAACGAGTAGATTATTTTACTGATTTTGTAATATACATTAATATTTTGACAGTTAGATCGGCGCGCAACCTTGGAACTGTTTTGATGCGGAAAGGTGGGCAGCGCGGCTCGTCACATTAATGCGAAGTTACCGTGCAGTCATTCTAATTCCGAGGCTCGTATAGACAAGTAACAGAATCGTGTGCCGCTCTTTTTTACATTTTTTTTCTTAATGTAATCGCGATAAATGCTAGATATAATACGTAACGTTGTACTTTATGAATATTTACAGTATAACGATTACTAGCCCGCATAATTAATTATTCATAAAAGGATCGAGATGACAGTTATGTGTCACGAAACAGATATATCGAAAGTTTCATTAATTTAGAATCAAAACACGATGGAAAACATAATTTATTACTTCGTAATAATTATGA